TATAATTATATGGTTGCAGTATATAGTTAAAAAAAATTTTTTTTATCTGCTTTAGTCTTATTTTATCCATTCTTTTCATTCATTACCCGTTAATGTTGGTTTATCCCTGTTGGTTTTTCGTTGCTGCATACTGTTCAACCGAAGTACCAAACAGACAGAATTTTTATTTGATTGCTTCATAGTACTGAGAAACTTAATCACTATAAAACCAACGGGAAACGGAAGAACGATATAGGAGTCTAAATAGGAATCAGCTCGTTTTGTCTTTTTTTCTTCGTTTTTTTATTTTTTTTTTTTGGCTCGTTGTTCTTCCATTTAGTAAATTCAACGTTTTGTTGTTTACCGCATTCAAAACGGTTCAGCAACCCCAAAGTTTTACGTACTGTTTTTTGCAGTAAAATACAAACCCTAGAAAATTACCAACAAAAAACCAAAAGAAGAAGAAAAAAAAAGCTCAGAAACAAACAACCAATACAAAAAAGAAAGGAAAAACTAGCAAAATAGAGATGAAAATGCAGTTCTCTGCAGAAACAACGAAACCGAATATAAAAAATATATAAAAAATATAAAAAATTAATATAAAAAATAATATAAAAAATTTGTATAATAATATAAAAAAATTTGTAATATAAAAAATTTGTGTTCAATTTTTTGGGCAACAATTTTCTGGTTTAAAAGCTCAATTTTTTCGTCTTTTTTTTTCTTCTGCATTAAATTACTTATTTTTCTTTTTATATATTTTTTTTTTTTACTTCTTATCTTTCTTTGTTTTTCTTTGCATTTTTTTCTGCACCTAACTTACTCTTCTTTTTCTTTGTTTTATCAAGAAAAAAAAATTTTGATTTTTTTTCAGTGTTTTTTTTTTTTTTAAATAATGAATAAATAAAGAAATTCAAAAGTGTTTGATTTATATTGGGATATCGTATAGCAAATAACCATCTTGCAGATCACATCAATTATAACTGCAAAAAGTAATGTATTTGTGGAAGAAGTTAAGGGGGG